ATTGTTGCCTTCTCACAAAAAAGTATGGCCGGATGCAGTGGCTCACACCTGTAATCCCAGCACTTTGGGAGGCCGAGGCGGGCAGATCACGAGGTCAGGAAATCAAGACCATCCTGGCTAACACGGTGAAACCCCATCTCTACTAAAAACAAACAAACAAACAAACAAAAAATGAAAACACCAGCTGGGCGCAGTGCCTCACGCCTGTAATCCCAGTACTTTGGGAGGCCAAGGCGGGTGGATCCAAGGTCAAGAGATCAAGACCATCCTGGCCAACATGGTGAAACCCCATCTCTACTAAAAATGCAAAAATTACCTGGGCATGGTGGCACGCGCCTGTAGTCCCAGCTACTCAGGAGGCTGAGGCAGGAGAACTGCCTGAACCCGGGAGGCAGAGGTTGCAGTGAGCTAAGACTGCGCCAATGCACTCCAGCCTGGTGACAGAGCAAGACTCCGTCTCAAAGAACAAAAAGTAAACACCAAGATAGATTAAAAACAGAGGCCAGGCATGGTGGCTCATGCCTGTAATCCAAACGCTTTGAGAGGTCAAGGTGGGAGGACTGCTTGAGGCCAGGAGTTCAAGACCAACCTCGGCAACATAGCAAGACTCCATCTAGGGCTGAAGTGGTAGTTTATGGCTGTAATCCCAGCACTTTCGGAGGCTGAGACAGTTGGATTGCTAGAGTTCAGGACCAGGCTGGGTGACATGGTGAAACCCAGTCTCTACAAAAAATAAAAAATTAGCCAGGCACAGTGGGGGCATGCTCTTGTAGTCCCAGCTACCTGGGAGGCTGAGGTGGGAGGATCACTTGAACCCAGGAGGCAGACGTTCCAGTGAACTGAGATTGCACCACTGCACTCCAGCCTGGGCGAAAGAGTAAGAGCCTGTCTCAAATACAAGAAAAAAAAAAAAAGGCCGGACACGGTGGCTCACACCTGCAATCCCAGCACTTTGGGAGGCCGAAGCCGGCGGATCACAAAGTCAGGAGTTCGAGACCAGATTGGCCGGCATAGTAAAACCCTATCTCTACTAAAAATACAAAAATTAGCTGGGCATGGTGGTATATGCCTGTAGTCCCAGCTACTCGGGAGGCTGAGGCAGGAGAATCGCTTGAACGTGGGAGGCAGAGGTTGTGGTGAGCCGAGATCGAGTCCCTGCACTCTATCCTGGGCAACAGAGTGAGACTTTGTCTCAAAAAATAAATAAATAAATAAGATAGAATAAAATAAAATAAAACACTCCATCTCTACCCAAAAAATAAAAATAAAAAAATTTGTGACGATGTCTCACTATATTACCCAAGCTGTTCTCAAACTCTTGGGCTCAAGCGATACTCTCACCTGAGCCTCCCAAAGTACTGGGATTACACACATGAGCCACTGTACCCAGCTCTGAAATTTTTTTCTTTTTTTTTTTTTTTTGAGACGGAGTTTTGCTCTTGTTGCCCAGGTTGGAGTGCAATGGTGT